CATCTCTTTTGATGTACTGATGTACTGAATAGTCGAGCACCAGGCTCGATGCCAATATAAACCTTTTGAAACACGGTTGAATATATCATGCCGATGTAAACATTGCGACACTCGGCCTAGCTGATACCCTGTAATACACCCAAACCCCACGTATGGTTTGGTCGGGGTTGAAGCTCGTCAAACGTCACTTCAGCTAACACGATTTGACGGGTCCCGATTATTACCGAACACTCATTCAAACAACTCGGTTGGGGCCATTCCATAATCGGACTCTGACGAAGTCCGGTGACTTCTATTTTGTTTCCCGTACAGCCCTAAAAACGTGTTGAGTTTTGCGAAGTTATCTGAAAACTCGCACAATCGACTCACACTTGTGGCTGAAATTCTTATAAATGATCAAAGTGGAATTCGGAAGTTATCTTTATAAAATCTTATAACTCGGATCATGATTTAAGTAATTCCGAGTTGAAGCAGTTTATTTTCTGAAAACCGAATTCAAAACACTTGGTCGAAAATTGCTGAAATTTGTACAGCAAAACATACAAACAAAATCACGCATATTCAAACACTTCATATATAATATTATTTCGGAAAGAAGTCTGGGAAATCCCTTATATAAATATTTCCTACTAAGGGAGTCGGCTATCCAACGTCCCCGATTACACACCATCAACTTTCAAATATTTCCTACTAAGGATGCCGACATGCCGGCACCCCGATTACCTTATGCAAACTTAATGAGTAAAAGAAAAGGACAAAGACAAAACACAAAAACATCAATGCTGGACCTCCTCGGCTGGTTTCTCCACATTCTCTCCGGTGCCGCTGCCTTCTCCGGCTTCAAAACCAGAAGATAATCGCTCCAAGACCTGCGATTCCTTTGCCTTAACAGCAGCTTCAATGGCCCCATCGGGCACCGGAATGAACTCGTCACGAGAATCAGACAACCTCCTCACCTCATCCTCAGCCGGCGTGACGGCCTTAACGAATTCCACCTCCTGGTCGGCCGACTTAGCTTTTTCATCAATGAAGGCTCGGACCCTGTCCCGAATCTGTTCCGGAGTCATGTCATCAAAGTGTTGTTCAACTTCTACCTCGGCGAGAGTGGAAAGATACACATCAGCCAGCTCCTTCCTTTTTTCTTTCCCCTCCTCCAAAATCATATTAACATAGGCACGTCGGAGGAGAGCCGCCCTATCTTCGGAGAGCGATGGCAAATCGGGGTTTACCTCCTCTGAACGGCGGAGCATCCATACACAAAATTCTCGCTCATCTTCATCAGCTGCCACATGCATTCCTTTTATTTCCGAATCAAACCCATATTTCTCCAGCTTATGAAACAGAAACAAACGGAGGTCATCGATATTGTAGTAGCCGGCATCGTAGCGTTCGATGATCCACCTCAAGTTCAGACATGTGTTCATCTCAATCTCGAGGTCGGGACCACCGGCTTCATCCTCTTCACCGGCCTCATTAACCTCTACCTCGGCATTTTCCCCGGACTTCGGTTCCACGATAACCGAATCTTTCCCGGCCTGAAATCCATTCTCATACATGAACTCTCCATAATCAGATTTCTCCTTCTCGAGCTTGGCTATATCGGCCTGATGAGCGTCGTGCTGCCGACCCACAAGTTCGCGAGT